GACGCGGGCGGGCGCAGCGCTCCGGCGGGGCTCGCTGGCTCTCCGCGCGTGTGTGGACGGAAGGGGACTCTCGCTTGGTGCCTTGCCTTGCTTGCTGTGTGTTTTTTTGTTGCTCTGTTTTAGGGGCGTTTGTACTGTGTGTGTTTGCCCTTCCTGGTCCCAGGAGGAGACGGCTGCGGCTTCACTACAACAGAAACAGAAAGGCAGAACTCGCCCGCGGGCACGGAGCCAGTGCCGGGGCTGGCCCGGCTCACGCCCCGGGCCCAGCTCCTCGCAGCCATGCACAGCGCCCCCCTGCCCCACGTGCGCACGCTAGCGGCAGGCGTCGGGGTCCCTACGGCTGGGGCGGGCGAGGCAGGGCTGGAGTGCTCCCGCACCCCTGGCACCGGGGCACCCCGCGGCCTGAGCCTCCCGGGAGCCGGGGGGCTCGGAGCTCCTCGGGGGCAGCTGCGAGAGCCGGGCGGGGGCAGTGCTGCCCCCGAGGCAATTGCGGGGCGGCTTGCAAGGCGCCCACCGGGTCCAGCGCTATGCTCCCTGGGGCCGGGGCTGCTTGTCCGTGGGGCGCTGGTGCTCCCTGCGGCCCGGGAATGGAAGACGATGCCGTGAGCACGGGCGCGCGGGGAGCAGGAGGCCAGGGCTGGGGGCTGCGCGCTGCACTGGCCCTGGGGTGGGAGGGCCGGGAGGGGCCCGTGCCCGGGCTCTCCCCCGCGGTTCGGCTGCTGGCTGTATGGCGGGGAGAGCAGGACCGGACGCACGGCTGCCTCCGTCCAGCCGGGTCAGGCCGCACGCGGGCGCAGGGAGGCAGGAGACGCGGGACGAGCGGCTTGAGGTAAAACCTATCGATAGGTCTGGGTTGCTGAGGCTGGCAGGGCAGGGCCCTGGCCCGGGCAGGGCCGCGCTCCTCCGGGACGCTCTGCCCTGGCTTAGTTTGGTTTGGTTTCTAGTGAGCAGTCAGTGTTAAATACTGTGGGGATGGGTCTGTCTTGCTAGTAGGGAGTGAAGCGGCTGTACCCTCCTCGGTATAGACTAGCCTGCAACATCAAAGATGAAAAAAAGCCAATCAGTATTGGAGACAGGCAATGCCCATTTTCTTCCCTTTTTTTCCACGACATCCAAGGGCGGGGGT